ATTCAGAGTCAGCTTCTAAACAGAATTATAAGGAAACCTTCTCCCTTGTTGCTTAGTATTTCAGTCAGAAAGTATTTTGACATTTTAAAAAAAGCGTAAACAAGTTAATTACAGAACAAACATTTGGCATAATTTTTTTAAAGGCTAGGAAGATGAAGAAAAGCAGAGAGGAGTTTTTCTCCCCCTGGTGGGCAACTTCAGAAAGAAGTGAAATGCCTATTATTTCAAGAACTAACAACCATTTTTGGAGAGCAACACTATTTCCTAACTGTGTGGCAGCTTTTGCAGTGACTGCAGTATCAAAGCTGATATTCGAATTAGCTCCAGTATATAAATAAGATATTGTACAGCCAGCAAGAGTGCCAGATATATAGTTGTCACTTTAATTTTAGAGCAGAAAAGTATTAAATTTGCATCCTAAAAATATTCATGTCAGACCCACTCTGCAAAAAAATTTGTTCTACTGTTAGTCGAGCACTTGGGAAGTATAGCATTAGCCAGATTTGTCCAAAAGCACTTCCCTGTTTCTGTACAGGGAATACACACAGGGTCAACAACTGGTGGCCCTTAGGCTCAACGTTCATTCTTTCCTACTCTTATATCAAAGGACTCACTGACAGGTACACCGGGTCCCAAACTATCAATACAAGAGGAAGAATAAGAGGAATTGACTCTCATTGTTTTGTTATTATCTGTTTTGTTGTAACTTACAGTGGTTGGTTACCTTTTTGTGTATTTAAAGAAATTAGCTGGGAACCGATAGATTAAATTTTGGGTAATAGTGGCACTAGACACACATACAGAGAGAACACCTTTGGTCTCTACTGTATTCTTCCTTATCAGACCAGTCTTTTAGCAAATTGCTAACTGGAGAAGAGGGAGGCAGGAAACACATCCTGAAAACACAGAAAAAGAAAGGCCACTATATCTGTATTCTGTTTTTATCACAATATTAAATCAGGAATGCTGTTCAGTCATTGCCTTTCAATAAGAACTCCCAAAGCAAATCTCCTTAGATCCAATGAGAATCACACTACTATTTATCTTCCTATTAAATCTAAGAAATACCAGGGAGAACCTTCCCACTATTAACACCGCTGGTTAGTTACCCACAGTGATCTGTTATCTGATTTAGCAAGTCCCCAACACACACATAGAATAAAACCAGATTTTGTAGCCATCCTTTTATGGGAAGTGCCTCTGGGCTCCCTCGCTCCCTCTCTCTAGAAAGCATGGAATAGCTGAGTCGGCAATGACATCAGCGCTATGTATGGGAATAGCGCAAGACAGACAGCTCCATTTACTTTGTACTATAAATGGGCAGTCTAAATGCCAGTAGCTAGACTGGGCCAAAAGAGAGAGAAAGAAAAGCACCCCTGAATACAGAAAAAGCCAATACCTGAGAACTATTAAGAGGTAATTCAAAGGCTGCTCCCAGCATAGAAAACCACTTTGACACAGAGAATTGTTCACAATCAGATGTCATCCAAGCACACCTTGGGAAAGTTGTTTTTCTGAACTATAACTTTGAGACTTTCCCAGCCTGCATGGCCTCTGCCAGCCAATACGGTTAGCCCTCTGCCCCATCCCTGAATATTTTGGGAGCTCATTCCATGAGTAGCTGTCTAGATAATGGTGGACCACTTCCAAGCACTCTATATCTAGTAAACCTTGGAAAGGGCCACCATGAATTTGAATTGACTTGATGACATATTATGTAAAAACTCCAGGAACAGTCAATCACAATTATAAAAACATTGACTGGTGTTACATAACAGATAAAAGTTTTATTCAAAAATCTAAGTATTAGCACAGTACGTATGCTCTTCTAATATTGCCATTTTTTGTATCTCTGATGATGTTATTTCTGGAATCTGCAACTGTTTGTACTACTGTTTAACATTTCTTGATATTGTTCCCAAAGCCCCAATGATGATGGGGACCACTGTGGTATATCTCAACCACAAGCGAGATATTTCATTTGGCAGATCTCTGCAGTTTTGTTAGTTTTTTTTCCTACTGCCAAAGCCCCAATGATGATGGGGACCATTGTGGTATATCTCAGACACAAGCAAGATATTTCATTTGGCAGATCTCTGTAGTTTTGTTAGGTTTTTTTTCCTACTGTTACTGTGTTTATTATTACATTCATAAGCAGGAAATTTGTTACAAATAATTTTCACATCTGTGAAAACAGCAGAGTGCTCAAGTGAACTTTAGTTGACCTTGCCTTTGGCTTTTAAACTTTAGTTGGCCTTGTCTTTGATGCACGCCTTTTTAGAAATAACCCCCACTGCGTTCAGCAGGCCATACTTCTAGTAAGTCTGTAGAGGATTTGGCCCTCTGAAACAGTGATCAGCTGCAGGAATGTTTCCAGCTTGGTGTCCTCCCATCATCCCCAGACACCACAGTCATCCTAGCATGTTTCCACTGTACCTAGAGGGCACCAGATTGGGAACTGCCGAACAGTACTGCCAAATTTAAATGTAAATAGAGTTCAGTTCCCCACTGTGTTTCCTGTGAGTAGAGCCAGCCTGTGTGGTCTTGGGTAAGCTGCACAGTCCCAGGGCGCCCCCAGAAGAAGGGAAGGGCAAACCAGGTTTTCCAGGTATACTCTACCTGGCAAACCCTGGAAAAGGCCGCCATGTGTCAAAATTGATTTGACAGCACACTTCTTGTTGTTGTTGTTGATACCACACTAGAGAAAGTACCAGCTTCAGCTGAAACCTTTAATTCCCCTCCTGCACTGTTCTCTCTCCTCCATATTTATTTATTTATTTATTTATTGATTGATTGATTGATTGATTGATTGATTGATTGATTGATTTGATTTGATTTGATTTGATTTGATTTGATTTTTGATTTTTACTCCGCCCCTCTAGACAATGTCTACTTGGGGCGGCTTGGAAATTCTATCTTGTCCTTCTTTCCCCCTTGTTTCTTCTCTTCCCTCCATACCACACGTTATACACCTTAGTGCTCACTGAGGTTTCTCCTCTCCACACCTCTCTTCCTCCCCCCAATATACCAGGGAGCAGAAACATTTCCTTCTCCCACTTCTGAATCTTTGGAAGAGCTCTGGGGCCTGCAGAGGAAAAAGAGAACATGCAGTTGGCTCAACAGAGGCCCTAGCATGTGAAGGAGTGGGGTTTTTTAGGGCTGCTTCCTGTCTTGTTATTATTAAAAAAACAGAAGAGGATCACGTAGTGCCTGAAGACGGCACCGCAAGCTATAGACACACATTGATTTAAATGAATTCATTTCTTTTAAAAGACAAAATAACCCTGAAACGCCCACCCTTAAAATAACTTTAGCACCCTGCCTACTGGTTTGGTCAGTCAAACTGCAGGCCTGTGTTTTCAGGAGAATGTAGCCCCATCAAGCACAGTTCAAGGTTCATAGCACACTCTATCCAAACAGTGTCTTTGCCTGTAACGTTTCCTCCCCAGAGCTCGCTGGTTTTTCTAAGCTCCCACTTCAGCCTTCTCAAGTCGGTCAGGGGGACAAGGCAGGCATAACATCCAAGTCCACCTAAAACAATGGTTCCAAACTTTGGGTGCCCTTGGACTGCAACTCCCAGAAACACTAGCCTGCCCTAGCCTGGCTTCTGGGAGTTGCAATCCAAGAACACCTGAGTGGGGGAGCCAAGGTTGGGAACCACTGACCGAAAACATTTCTCAGAGGAGCAAATCACTGAAATTTGCATTTCTCCCAAAGCCACCTGTGCAGCTACTTCAGCACAATGGCTCTGACATTCCTTTGCTTGGATCCCAAGAGGTTATTTCCTAATTTGACTGAACAGTGAGAGAAACATGCAGAAGCCCATTTTAATGTTGTTTCATCTCAACCACCCAAAGGTTCAGGTTGGAAACCTTGCTTGAACCTGCACCTCGCTCAAGGTTTGCTTGACTGCAAGCCACGGCCACAGAAAATAAGCTTACCTTAAAAACTAAATAAGGATTCCTGTACTTTCTTGAAATATCAAATGGATTTGGAAATGGTCGGAGAAGGAGAAAAAGAACATCATCATTAAATGCAGTTTCTATGACTAGCTGGTTGGTTCAAAAATTTGCTGAGACATATGACATATTAGCCTTTAAGAAGAACTAAAAAAATAAATTCTTACCAGGATAGCACCTTCTCCATTGAGCAAATGAAACATTTTTATTATAGATAAAAGTTCTCTTGGCTTTCCAGCACACATCACTTGAATACAACTGATAACTGTTTTTTTATATGTTTGCAATGGTCTCCCTTCCTACACAGCAGGAAAAAAAACCCTACACAATATGATTCCAAAACATGAAAATAAAATGACAATAGCAAATAGTAATAATAAGAAGAATACCTTTTGAGGATCTTGAGTATGGCTGAGATCTTCTTTCAGCGCTAAAACTCTCTGTACCACACTCCCTGTCTCTGCCATGTTGACAGAGCTCCCAGGTCCTACCTAGAGGTCAGCTCACACAGCTAGTGCAGTGAGAAGAACCCGGGAAGCCTCCATGGTTTAACTTCCTTCCAGCTGCCACTTTTTAAAGCGGATTATTTAATACCATAGGTGTTGCCTTAACTTTTTCCAGCCTCCCTTCAATGAATCAAGGAGAATTTAAGCATTTCTCTGTATTAAAATCAGGTAAGCAAGAGTTTTGACCAAACTCCAGGAGGCAGTGGAAGGCAGGAGGGCCTGGCGTGCTCTGGTCCATGGGGTCACGAAGAGTCGGACACGACTAAACAACAACAAGCAAGAGTTACAGGTTACTCTTGCTTGTCCACTTCATGATGTATCACTCTGAGAATGAAATCTTTATGTTACTCTGTGGACTTTGGAGTGGTTAAATTTTGCTCCTGCTGCCTCTTCTTACCCTTGACTATGCCTGGTGAGGCCCATAAGAGTTAAAGGCCAAAATAACTGGATGCCAAACATTTTTCATGCCTGGTATAGAGAAAATGGTCAAATAAGGATCAGTAATACTTACAAACATTCCTCTCTTTTTTTTCAGACTTCAGCGCCCAGAATTCTCCAGCCAACATGACCACAGATCATACTGACTGAAGAATTGTAGGAGTTATGTAGGTGTACCTTAAAATGTTGATCAATCTATGACAAGCATACAGTACTAAAGCTTCAAACTCCTCTGATATCTTTAAAAATGGAATACAGTTTTTCAGGTCATAATCTTCCAAATAAATTTTTGGTACATGATGAACTGCATATGTTTCCTAAGAGTTTTTTCAGAACCAGAGCCTCTCTCTATTGCCACAGCAGTGGGCTCTATGGCTCTTAAATTGCCCACAGACGTATCTTTTTCCTGGTTCTACTGAACCTCCCATTCTATTGTAGATATAATTTGACATCGTGACATGGGACGAAGAAGACTCCGCCATTTGTATTTTCAAGGACAGAAGGTTTCAAGACTGCTGTTGTATTACAGAAATGATGCACACTTCCTCAGATAAGCACATTTATAGCAAATCATTTCCTTGGTGAAATGTCTACAGAGCTGTGGAGCCAGTCTGGAAAGATATGTGCCAAGGTATGACCAACAGGGCAAGAAACAAGCCAAGATGGACCATACCCATGACATAGGGTGTGGTGGTGATGATGGTGATGGCAGTTGCAAAATTAGAAGGTAGGAGATTCTGGACTGTTCTGCCTGGGGAAAATGATTATTTGCCTGGAATCCTGGAAGAAGGGATCAGAGATTGGCAAAATTACTTTTATGTAGTATAAGAACTAGAATCTGCTAGCTACTGGCCTTGCTGGCTGGGGGAATTCTTAGAGCTGGTATTCAAAAAAGGAATTTAATGAAGCTCTGGGGAACACAGAACAGGAATTATTGCTGTTGTAATTTAGAAGGTCTTACTTGTAAACTATATTTATGAAGCTAAGGAGATAGTAACTCAGTTATGATTAGATAAGAGATTGAAACCTTTGTAAATTGCCTGAAGAAAACATATGATACAAAAGCAATAAAATTAAACTACTGTTGTGTTCTCTACAATGTGTTCTCTGTGTATGTTTTTTTTAAAATAATATGTTATATGATCTTATTCACTAAATGTTTGGAGCATAGGTGGACAATGTAGCTTCCCAAACAAAGTTTGAAAATAACTAGTTCTTGTAACTAGTTACTTCTTGTGCTATTATTAACTTTCTTATGACTTTCAGATGTTACTTTTAAAGGAGACTTTAAAGTATTTGTAGGGGCATTTTATCGTCATGTTTTCCAGTTTCATGCCATTTCTTATCAATTTTGTGACATATACTATTTTGCTGTGGAGCCAGAGATTGCAAGTTCAATTCCCCACCATGCCTCCTGCAAACAGAGCCAGCCTGTGTTGTTTTGGGCAAGCTGCACAGGCCGAAAGAAGGGAAGGGTAAACCACTTCTGAGTATTCTGAACTAAGTTGCCATAAGTCAGAAGTGACTTGACAGCGTATGATTATTATTAGGCCAAGGATTTTTATGATATTTCTTAAACCTTTATTTGAATTTGTAAGTAAATTAAAATGTTTATGAGTAATCTGATGAGAATTATGTGGGTTTTATTTTGCCTGAAATGTCATATTTCGATCTTTTTAAAAATGTGCTTGTCAAATTTCTGCTTAATTTTGTAATAAATGTTTTATTTTTAATCATATTTTGGTCATCGGCAACCCTCCCAATGAATTCAACATGCCGAAAAGTAGATGTTCAGCAAGTGTAAAATTATGGTGTTTTGCCCAAGAGTTTGGGGAGCAGATTTTCAGTCGTGATGGTGATATTTTGTTTTGTAAATTGTGTGAAGTTAACGTGTCAGCCCAAAAGCATTTTAATATTCAACAACTTTGTGATACCATGAAACACAGGAGTTGTTTAGCAAGATTTATCTTTGCTGAGAACAGGCAACATCTCATTTTTGAGAGAGTTTCTTCTTCAATTGCAGATTCATCCAATACCCATTCAGAATTTTGTAAGAATCTCTATACAATTATGGTTATGCAAATATTCCCTTAAAGAAATTAGATAGTGGTAGCCTCGGACACTTCTTGGAGAAGTACACCAGTCACCTGATTCCAAATGAATAAACTGTAAGGAAAAATGCCATTTCTGCCTGCTGTGAAGATGCATTAGGAAATATAAGACCTGCCATTGACAACAATAGGATATTGGTTTCAATAGATGAAACAAGTGATGTGAATGGAAAATTTGTAGCTGATGTTATTATTG